GGCGCAGTGGCTCATGCCTGTAATCCCAGCACTTTGGGAGGCCAAGGCGGGTGGATCACAAGGTCAGGAGATCCAGACCATCCTGGCTAACACAGTGAAACCCCATCTCTACTAAAAAATACAAAAAAAAAAATTAGCCGGGCGTGGTGGCGGGTGCCTGTAGTCCCAGCTACTCAGGAGGCTGAGGCAGGAGAATGGCATGAACCGGGAGGTGGAGCTTGCAGTGGCCGAGATCGCGCCACTGCACTCCAGCCTGGGCCACGAGTCACGAGATTCCCGTCCTAAAAAATAAAAAAACAAGCAAATATCAAATAGTCAGGTATGGTGGCACACACCTGTAGTCCCAGCTACTCGGGAGGTTGAGGTGGGAGGATTGCTTGAGCCTGGGAAGTCAAGGCTGCAGTGAGCTGTGATTGCACCACTGCACTCCAGCCCTAGATGACACAGTGAGACCCTGTCTCAAAAAAAAAAAAAAATAAAATAGGCTGAGCGCGGTGGCTCACGCCTGTAATCCCAGCACTTTAGGAGGCCGAGGCGGGCAGGCAGATCACGAGGTCAGGAGATCGAGACCATCCTGGCTAACACGGGTGAAACTCCGTCTCTACTAAAAATGCAAAATTAGCCGGAGGCCGAGGTGGCAGGCGCCTGTAGTCCAGCTACTCGGAGGCTGAGGCAGGAGAATGGCGTGAACCCGGGAGGCAGAGCTTTGCAGTGAGCGAGATGCGCCACTGCACTCCAGCCTGGCGTGGCCGAGACTCCGTCTCAAAAATAAATAAATAAATAAATAAATAAATAAATAAATAAATAAATAAAAAATAAGGCGCTCTTAAAGAGTTGAGTACAAACCTTGGCACACCGTAGATGCTCAACAAATTAGCCCTCCTTCTCCCTTGAGCCAGCATTCATTGGCTACCGACCCAGTAGCCTAGAGTGAGGGGTGGAGAGTGCCTGGGCTCACGTCCCAACCCCACCAATCGTACAAGTGTCCAGCGCAGTTATTTCATCAGCCCCAGTTCTTACTGCCGTGGGGATCATAACAGAACCTGCCTCAAGGAGTGAGCCGGATGACTTTTCTCTGTGTGAAATGTTCAGTACCTAATACAGAGCAAGATGCTCACAATTATCGCCGCCTGCCGTCTGGCTTTGCGCCAGCCTGTGGTACCGATTGTGGGTGAGCGGCTGGTGAGATTGGGAAGGCTCTGGATGGTTCTGGATGCACTCCCTTACTTCCTCACTCTCAGGCCTGTGATTACCGCAGCGCCCCCATATCTGTGGTTTCACTTTCCTTACAGTTTCCAGCAGCCAGTCACGGCCTGAAAATATTAAACAGAAAATTTACAAGAAATAATTCTATAATTTGACATTACATATACCATTCTGAGTAGGAGTGATTAAATCATGCAGCGATAGAGTGACTCATTCCTCTGTCCCAGTGTCTCACACTGCAGGCATTCCCACCCGTGAGTCACTTTGTAGCCCTCTTGGTGATGAGAGAGAAAAAGCCTAATCCACAGAGGGTTTGGTACTATCCGCGGTACCACGCAGGTGATGGAGGAGTAGGCTCATGGATGAGAGGGCAACTGCTTAATCTCCTGCCTCCTGTGAGGTTTGCATCAGGTCGGCGTGAGCTCTGAGACTGCTCCTGAAAGGGGAAGGGGACTTTGGAGAAGCTGCAAGACTACCCAGGAGGCGCAGGGGCAGAGGACCCCCAGAAGCTGCAAGTAGCTGCATTCTCAGCTACAGGGCTGAGAACGAAGGGGAGGAGGATGAGCTGCCAGTTGCATGGGGCTGCATCTGGGCAGGGGACAGAGGCAGGGCAGCACAGCCGCCAGCAGGCTATCAACGAGGATCTAGGCAGAGAGCAAATTTGCAGTGATGAGCCCACAAGGTGGCGGCCAGCTGCCCACCCCACTCACCTGTGGCCATCCCAGGTTTGCTGAGGCAGAAGTCCCTGGCTCCGTCCTTTTTAAAGGCAAGGCGGCTCCTGCCACCACCTCCCTGTTTCCCACTTGCTTCAGGAAATTCCCAGCAGGTATTTTTCTTCTTTTTTTCAGGAGGAATGGAATGGACTTCTTGTTCTGTCTGCAGAAAGTTCAGAAGCCTGCAGAGGGCCTGTTCTAGGGGGTTCTGGTGAGAGAAAAGGCGGTGACAGGAAGCGCGCGCAGCAGGCACGCGGAGATGTACCCTCGGTGACGCGCATGCACAGGCACGGCAGCCACCCCACCACACGCGAACCACACGCACAACATAGACGGGCAGGCCCAGAGGCGTGTGGGGACCCAAAACAAACTGACTCCATGCTGGGGAGACAGGAGGATTCCAGCTGAGGCTTGAGCCCACATCATGAAGCGCCCATCCGCAGGAGCTCATGCGAGCCCAGGAGCCTTGTCCCGCCCCAGGGCCTTGCTTTTCGCTGTTCCCTGCCGGGAGTGAGTGTTCCAACACAGAGCTCCGCAGGTGGGATCCTCGATACTCTTCAGATCTCAGAGAGGCCTCCCTGCCCCTGCCCACATGACTCCATCCCAGTGACCTGTTTTATTTCCTCACAGCCGTCTTCACTTCTAAACTGCCTTGCTTTTTTCTTGACAGGATCTTGCTCTGTGGAGCACTCCAGGCTGGAGTGCAGTGGCACAATTATGCATGGCTCACTGCAGTCTTGACCTCCCAGGCTCAAGCAGATCCTCCCACCTCAGCCTCCCAAGTAGCTGGGAATACAGGCATGCGCCGCCACACCCAGCAGCTAACTTTTAAATCCTTTTGTAGAGACAGTCTCACTATGTTGTCTCAAACTCCTGGGCTCAAGCAATCCTCCCAAAGTGTCCTAAAGTGCTGGGATTACAGATGTGAGCCACCACACCTGCGTAACTTGAGCAAGGATGGGCTGTGTGGCTGTCTACAACAAAGCTCAGCCGCTAGTCAAGCCAGGCTGCCCGTGAGAAAGGCTTTCTGTGCACTTGAGCACATGTGGACAGGTACAGGTGTGACGCCAGCCTCCACTTGCAGCCTGCAGGTGTGTGTCCTGAGCCTGGGGGCAGACAGACTACCCCCAGGGAGCCTTTGTTCTTCGCATCCACAACTGAGTGCAGAGGAGCCCTGCAGAGGCAGCAAGGCTCAGCCAGGACATCTCAGACCAGCAAACCCTTTCCTATCTGGGTTGGGTGGGCATCGAACTCCAGGCCCAGCCTAAGGGATGGGGAAGGGAAGGGGCGGGCTGGGACCCTGCCCACTCATCTCATCCCCACCAGGGCGAGGTCAGACAGGAGACTGACAAGCGCACCCGGGAGACCAGGCAAGCAGGTCTCACACCTGGCCCTGCCACTAAGGTGCCTAGTGGCCTTGGGACAACAGGTCCCGACCCATGCGGGGGCATCCGGAACTGATACAGAAAGGAACCCTGCCCAATCCAAAACCCCTAGCAGACCCTCTTGCAGAGGCGTGCCCGCACTCACCCTGGTAAGCCTCCAACCTGAAGTGCAGCTCCAGTCATCCAGGCCCAGGCTGCAGAGCCAAGGATGGGAGGGCTGGGAAGGAGGGTTCTGCCTTGAGACCAACTGCCCCCAAGCCAAGCTCCAGAAGGGGCTGGAGACATGCAGGCTGGACACACACGTGGGAAGGTTCCTGCTGCACACACCCAGCTCAACTCTGGCTGCCTGCCTCAGGACCACCCACATGGCACTTAACCGCTCTGCACACCTGGATGACTTCAAGACATTTTAGTGCCCCACCCGGCCTCCCTCCAAATCCCAGGGGAGAGCGAAACAACTTGGGCATCTTCCCAGCTGTTCTCCACAGTCCCACACACACACGCCCACAGGTACACGCCATTCGATCCTCAGATCCCAGCTATTGCCAATCCGTAAATAACAGACTCAGACATGCAGTTGGGGCCCCTGTGGTGACTGGCAGGCCTGCCCAGAGGGACACTCTGCTGAGTGGACAGTCAGCTGCCACAGCTGGGGACTCTAGCCACAAATAACCCAGGGAGGGCTGGAGTACAGCAGTGCCTGCACACACAGCCCACAGCATCTGAGGGACCAGCTTTGATGGCATCAGGGCACCTGTATTCCATGCTCCATCCTGGTGAGCCTAGGTGCAGCTTGAGCCAAAGATTGGAGGTCAGCAGCGCTGGGTCCAATCGCCAGGGTCTGTGCTGGGCTTCACAGCTCACCGGGCTGCAGGCCAGGTCACGGGGGTCGGTCAGAGCCTGGAGGATTCCTTCAGCTTACAGCAGCAGCCATACCCCAGCATCACACCAGGGTCAGAGGCTGAGGGCAGCAGGCACTCAACATGCAAGTCAAGAAAGCAACTAAGTCCTGTGCCGGGGCTGGGGTAGAGGGACCATCTCCAGAGGACAGGGCTGAATAACCAAGTCCAGAGGGCAGATCCCAGCCCAGAGGGGACACAGCCCTCTACCACACGTTCCAACTAGGCTTCCAGCTGCCGAGCCCCGGCAAGTTCCTTAACCTCTGTGCCTGTGTTCATGCTCTCCCAGTACCAGACTTGGGGTGCAGATGACAAAAGAACCTCAACAAGCCTTAACTGGATTAATTTAAAACCAAATCAACTTTTTAGACAAGTAACAGACCCAGGGTCTGCCTGCACATCAGCATCAAAGGCGCCGGGGAACTTCCAGGCCTCCTGGTCTCCTTCCCCCTCTCCAGCCCACTGGCATCACCCAGAAAGCTGTGCAAACAGCAAGACCCAGCTGCCTCGCCCGGTGACAAACATTTTCATTACTCTCCAGGCTGGCTTTCCACAGCTCAGCAGCAGAACCAAGGTCCAGCTTTTACCTCCCTCCAGGGACTGAGGTGGTCACTGATAGGAGGCCAGAGGGCAAACCCAGTGTAGCTACAGAAAGGAGGGCAGTGGCCCAGAGCTCTGTGCAGCACAACAGGGCCCCCATCTGCTGCCTCCCCAGTCCCGGCCGCTCTCCTGGAGAAAGAGGCAAGATGTCAGTGGAAAATAACTTTTATTGAGACCCCACCCAGCTGCAAATCTGCTCAGGCATTAGCTCCTTCTTCCTTTGCAATTCGATCTTTCTTGAGTGGTCCCTGTGCAGGGGAGAGGCAGTGGTCAGGAGGGAGAGAAGATGGCAGAGAGAGGCGACAGCAGATGCCCACTCTGGGGGACCAAGACTCCAGGCCAGTCTCCACAGCCACAAGAGAGGCCCAAGGCATCCAAGACCAGCCCCTACCGGGTGGAGCCAAGGCTGGCGGGGGCCAAGTCCACAGCACCCAGCCCCGAGGGCAGGCAGAGGCGCTCACCATGAATGCTTTCTTCTCTTCCATGGTCTAGGCGGCCATGTAGCCAAAACTTGGAGAATTAGTGTCAATGAACTTAAGGTCAATGTTCTCAGAGCCATATTCGTCTGCACAGCAAGGACTGTAGGCCAAGGGGAAGGATTTAGGATTACAAAGGAGACAGCTTTCCTCAGAACTTGGTTCACAGCGCTCTGCATCTGGGAAGCCACACCATCAATTAGCGCCCCACGGCCCATCACCCAGAAGATGAGGACACACTCAAAGAAGCAAACTGGCCAGGCCAGACTGGGAACCTCTCATTCCAGGACTTCAAAGCCAGTGTGAAGGACACCCAGCACCTCCTTCCTTTCCTCTGCCACAAGCTCTGCAGCCTGGATCCTCCCTCTACAGAAGCCCCCATGACCAGGCAGGGCCCGCCTCACCTGCGGAGGTGAGCACCGCTGCTTGGTTCCCACCACACAGCCTTTCAGCATGACAAAGTCATTGGTCACTTCACCACGCAATGGACAAACCCACCTGGAAAACAAGGCCATCGGATCAGCACACAGGCCCAGCACCAGGCACAAGAGGGGACTGTTGTGCACAGATAACCCCCTCCAGATTCAGGCCCTCTCTGACCACAGGGCTGTTCTCAGAAGAAGGCAACAAGGAACGGTTCATGGAGGAGTCTGTCTCGGGCGCTGTGCCCAGCGCCACATTCAGGCCCTCATCACTGAACAGCTGAGCCTGAGACCCACTTCTCTCCAGCCAACTTGGTGGACTAGAATGACAACACATACCACTTACAAGGAACACAGCTAGGTGTGCTGGCTTCAGATTAACGATCTGCTGACAGCCCCTAGGAGTAGCCTATCCCCAAAGACACGAGGACCTCACCCACAGAAGAGGCCTGGGGGTGGCTGCTGCATAGGCAGAGACACCCATTACTTACCAGAGGATTGATGCTCTTATCAGACAGGTCATAGTCAGTGGAAGCATTGTTCTTGATCAGCTTGCCATCCTTGATAAGGTAGCCCTGGCCAATCTTATAGATCTGAATGAACAAGAAGGGCATAAGGCTGGGGCATTAGGGACAAATAAGCCAGACATGCCAGTGTGCTGACTTAAAGCACTCCTAGGAGGCCGCTGAGGCCTCAATTTAGTCACAGCGTATCAACTTCAGAGCAAAAGGTGGCTGGCTCTCCAGGTTCCCTTTCTGTTGTGTGTTAAGTGGCTGGGCGAAAACCAAAGATCCTGCTGTACAACATAGGAGGCCTGTCACACCACTGGTGGTGGGATCAGGGAGACCAATAAGAGCTATTATCCCCAGCCACACCAAGTCAGTCTCACCACAGCCACTTTACAGGCTGTACCTTACAAACCATCCAAGATGGGCCAGAACTGACCCGCGAGAAGCGAGCCACTGATGTCCACATGATGCATAAGCTACAGCCCATGAAGCAGCGCTGACAGGCACAGAAACCCCAGCCTCCATCACAAGGTCATCTTCCCACCCCCAGGGACCACTCTCAGAACCTCACCTTCTTATTGATCTCAGATGCGGTGATGGTAGCCTTTCTGCCAGCACGTGCCACAGAGGCGCCACCCCGCGAGCAGGATGCCATGCCCCAATACAGGCCACAGCAAGACCTCGGTGGGTCTTTGCGGGGGCAGCTTCTTGGTGTGCCAACGACTGGTGACCCCTGGAATGGATGGACACACATTATTGCACCTCGGCTTAGCACCTCCCTCACCCTTCTCCTACTCAACAATTACAACCATGGCTGGGTCATCTGAGGGGGGTGATGAGATGTGCATTACCAAAGATCTCCCCGTCAAGGTGGATAGGTTCTGGGGGTGTAACCCTGAACTCTCAACTGTGAATGGGGCGCTTTTTAAGGCATCCATTAGTGTAAGAAAGCTCCCCATCCGCAGGGACTGACAGACATAATTCCAAGCTCCTTTGCAGTTATCTGCTAAGGCTACAAGAGCAAAGGGTCCAGGAGTATAGTAGAGATTGTCCTGGCCCTCGCTATCCCAGCCACTTCTGACCGAGCTGTTCTCAGGAAGGCAGTAGAGAATGATTCCCACAGTGTGTTCTGATTCGGAGCGCTGTGCCCAGCGCTCACTCTTAGCCTCATCACTGAACAGCTGGACCTAAAATCACGCTACTCCCCCAGGTTTGCACAGCAACGCAAGCTGCTGCAAAGCTCACCCCTTTGTAGCCTTTGCCCTTGGTCACCCCGATGACGTCGATCATCTCATCCTGCCCAAACACCTGGTTCACAGGTACCTGCTGCTCTCGGCGAGCCCTCTGTGGAGCCCAGTCCAGCTTCCACGAAGCCGCCAGTGCCTCCGTTCACCTGGATCTCCATCAGGTGGGCCTTCTTCTGGCGCAGAGGCAGGGCGCATCTAGGAGGAGGTGGAGCACAACTCAGCTCCAGCTGCCAATGCTCCTCCCACAGTAGAGGAACTGCGGTTCCATGCGGCCTGATTGATGTCAAGCACACAGCAAAAAGCCAATTAACTCTGAACAAATCACTAGAACCTCACGAAGAGGAAGGAACTTTCATTTTGCTAACAGCATTAACTTAACTTTGGATTCTGGTGCCTGAGTTACTGCTGTCAGGATGAGCGGACAGGCTCACACCACAGCGACCACAGATCCCAGCACCCTACCAGCCCAGTGTTCATAGCTGTCCTTTGGGTCAGTTCCTGGGGTATTGCAGTGATAGTTTACCTCAGCTACCCGCCCTGACAAGCCCCTTTTGAGACAGCACAAGCTCTAAATAGAAAATGCATCACAGGTGGACAGCGGTGGCTCGCCTGTAATCCCAGCACTTTGGGAGGCCGAGGCAGGTGGATCATCTGGGGTCAGGAGTTCAAGATCAGCCTGACCAACATGGAGAAATCCCGTCTCTACTAAAAATACAAAATTAGTGGGGTGTGGTGGCGCATGCCTGTAATCCCAGCTACTCGGGAGGCTGAGGCAGGAGAATCAGCCCGAACCTAGGAAGCAGAGGTTGTGGTGAGCTGAGATAGGGCTATTGACGTAGCCTGGGCAACGAGAGCAAAACTCTGTCTCTGCATTTGAGCATAAAGCGTTCACTCAGGAACAGCCCAGCAATGTCCTGACAAAATTTCAATGGTGGACATGCACTTTAATCTGTGGTGGCCCTCACCACATGGGGTTGTGCTCAGCACTTGAAAGGATAACCCCGTAACAGGACAGCAAAGACATCCACTCCTAGCAAGTCAATAAAGAGGGCCTGCTCAGCTCACAAACTAGGTTTCCAGGAAAGCAGCCAGTCACCTCAACCGACTTTCAGGCAGGCATTTCAGTGTCACTGGTGAGTCACCAGTTGGGTCAGCCAGTTGAATTTTAAAGGGGCATGGTTCCCTTGCTAGGAACCGAAATAAGGACACAGTGCCCTCTGCTGGCAAGGAGAAGCTACTCTCACAAACATGGGGACACGTACCTATGATCACATAAGGTCACTTTTACTAAGTGGCAGGCCAAATACCTCAGAGACACTCACCTGGGTGTAGGCAATGACACGGATGACTTAGCGATGCTCATGCTGCTGAAGTCCTTCTCCAGCTGCTTCTTGCCATCCTCATCCTGCCATTTCTGCAGTACTTGGTAAAGGCCTTCTTCTTGAATTTATGCCTTCAGGAGCAGAGCAGAGTTGGGGGAGGGCCGGGTGCAAGGCCTTCATCACTCGAGGGTGGCGGAAAGAACACACTGGCACCGCGTGGGGATGGGGCTCATTGCCGGCTTCTAAGGAGCCTTTTCCACCGGCAAGCGGAGCCTGGATGGAGCTCATCGGGCAAGGCCGAGCGGAGCGAGCAGAGGGTCCACAAAGGTTAACTTAAGTTACAAACATTCAAACAAAATTCTTGCTCCGGGGGTGCTAGAAAGCAAAGCTCTGCCTTGGGGAGCACCCATTCAGTGATAGATAGGACATTCCAGCCAGGGCAGAGGCCCTTGCCAGCCTATAGGGGTTGAATTATCCTGCACTGCACCACCTCTCCAAGGTTTCTAGTTGGACTCCTTAACCAACTGGGTCCTCAGCCACCACCCACTAGCCTGGACTCCAGAATACAGTCGCTCCCAGCTGATGCCCAATGGCTGGCAAAGTCTGATCGCAGGTATTTTTCATTCAAGAGACAAATAAACCCGAGACAGCAGCTCCTGCTACAGAGCTGAGAAACCATGCACACTGTTCCCTGCTCTCCAGCTCCCAAGCTAGGGACTACAGGGCCTCCTCCACCTCACCAGTTCTGCAGAAACGCCTCTTGCATTTCATCACTGATGTGCTCAGCGAAGACAGTCTTGAGTCCGGAGGCCTCGCGAGGAGTTTCCGCGTAGCCCCCGTGCCCCTTCATGGGTGGCACGTCTCCACAATGGTTACAGCCTCCACCACCTCCTTCTTGTTCACCTCTGCAAAGAAAGCAGTAGTCAGACTTGGCAGGAGCCCAAAGCAAGGGGTGTAATGTTTCCAGGAAAATGCAAGCCTGCCCATTTAGGTCGGAAGAACAACTGGAGCCCCACACCTGTAGTCTGGACACTCAGGGCTGTGCCACCTGCTGTTCAAGTGCATTTATGTTCTTTAGCCATATCAGGACCCTAGATAACCAAATACCTGTCCAGCTTCAATTCTCTTCTACAGAAACCTCTGGAGGCAGACAAGATTTGCTATTTATCTGGAAAATTCAAGTGTCCTAAATATAACTGGGACACAGAAATAGCTCTGAGCTCAATTTAGAGTCAATATCAGCTGTCTAATTAATGTCTCCATGGCTCAGCAACCAGTGCTGTTAGACATCTCTAAGTAGAAAACACACAGGTAAGTGGCCATTATTCAAGCTTTTAGATGAAATGCACGTGAACAAGTAAAACATGAATGAGGCACTTCTTATTCCAACCTCAGCAGCTCCTTTATACTAGTGTTACTTCTCTTTGCTAAGGCTCTGGCAAATTTACTATGCTCTGAAAGCAATACCCACCCCGCACCTAAAGCCAACAGTGCCGGCCATCGCCTTGGAATATTAGTGCCGAAGTTGTCCGCTGTCACAATGAGTTCCCTGGTAACCTGTAACTCCAGCTTAAAAAAAAAAAGTCTGCCCTCTGCTAACAGGCGACTCCATCGCCAGTTTCCCTCCCCCTCCTCCCTATCCCAACTTTTAGGGAGACCTGTACATACTAGATCCTGGCCTGTCGACTTCCGCACGATGTGTAAGGTCATGCCAGCCTTGTATCCCAGGAAGGCTGTGAGGTGGACCGGCTTAGACGGATCAGCATCTTGCAAGGGAAGCTCTTAACCTTCCCGCGATGCCTGCTGCTGCGCTTCCGAGGCAGGAAGCCGAGGGACCCATGTCTGGGAGCGGAGAACTTTCTGTGAGACTAGGGGAAAAAAAAAAATCACCGTCAGCACCAGACACCCAGGAAACCAAGTAAAAAGGTAATTATCTCTTCCAGGCTCGCACACGTCAAGAATATTTTTTGTATTCGACATAGAAATTTAAGCTGAATCTTGGCAATCCTCAACCTGTAAGAGAGAAAACGAGCCATCCGTTTTTTCTCTACCACAAAAATACATAAGTAGTGACACTAAAAACTGTAACAGGCAGCTTTATGTGCGCGAATTAGCAAGGTTTTGACCACTAAAGAAAAGCACTCCAGGGACAAATGCTGGGTAGCAGCTAGCCAATACTACGCTATGGGCTGCCTCTAGCGCCAGACACTAATTACACCGACACACGTAAGGCGGAGAACTCGGCAGAGGCAAACAGAACATGACGAATCAGCACACAGTTTCTGTCCGCCCGTCAATAAGTTCATCATCTGCTTGGCTTCCTGCTCCAGAGGCCTTCGGGTACACAAGCGGTCCCAGATATTTCAGGAGGACTCCACAACATTCTCCTCCCGCAAGCTTACCTCCCAATGAGAACAGTGCCGAGAACCCCACACCCAAGGTCTGCTATCCAGACAAGCTGCTTAAAGGCCCTAATCCCAACTAATGATGGAGTTGGTGAGATCAAAACTTCCAGCAATGACTCATGGCTTCACGTGCGGGCCTCAGAAGCCTGCTCCCACCGCCCGGCCTGTCTCTGGCCGACCTGCAGGCCCAAAGCCAGTCCTCCAAGCGCTCTTCTACACAAGCCTCTCGACTTTCCAAGCCATAGGCCTGACTGAGGCCCCCGCTGGGTCGCCTGTGCTCCTAGAGCAAGCCCCCGGCGCCGGCCAAGCTGGGATGGCGGCGATGCGTCCCGGATCCAGCCGTGCCGACGCCGGTGACAATGAATCGGACGCCATTACAATACATACCATCACGCCATCAAATCCCGCCGGTAGAGGTCGGCTTGTTGTCGGTGTCCGCTATATAAGTCGATGCAACCGCCCCTTCCGGCGTGCGAGCGCGCGCAGCCAGACGTCCGGGTGGGGAGCACGTACCGAGCGCCATTTCTACACGTACTCTTGCGCCTAACTTTCGTTCCGAGGTGGACGTCAGCTTCTGAGACCGAAATTAGACACTCTACGGCGAGGGGTCGGGTTCAAACTTAATGAAAAGCCACGGAGGCGCGGGCTGAGGGTGTGGTGTGCCACAAGTCTACGGCGTCCGGCAGCAGCCAAACTTGATAATAATGAAGAAAAATGGCTGCGTCGCTTTCTTCCTGTGATGTCTGTATCTGGAATTGGCGAGGAAAAGACGAAACCCTTGTTTCTGGCTCCCACGCTGGTTTTGCCCCGCGACACCAACTTGCCTTCATGCCTTCCAATCTCGGGCATCCTTCCCTCAAGCCCTGTCTCTACCATTTCTCCCATGCTAATGCAGTGGCCTGCACTTGATTCTGAGTGTCTCAGGGCGTCCCAGCCTGAGACAGCCTCAAGCCTCAGGTCATGCCAGTCCCAGCTGCCCAGCCTCCTGAGCCCTGCCCAGACCTCCTGCATCAACAGGACTTCTTCGATCTCCGCTTGGGCTTAGGAATGGCACTCGGTCCTGACCAATTCCCTGCCTACAGGCTCCTCCCTTGTTTTTTTTTTTTTTTTTTTTTTTTTGAAACGGTGTGTCTCGCTCTGTCGCACGCAGGCTGTTGCAATGCGCAAATCTCCAGTTCCACTAACCTCCGCTTCCAGTCAGTTCAACAGTTCTCTTGCCTCAGCCTCCAGTGGCGCTGGGGATACGAGTCTGTCAAGCTATTTTTTTTTTTTTGTATTTTTAGTAGAGACAGGATTCCATATGTTGGCCAGGCTGGTCTTGAACTCCTGACCTCGTGATCCGCCCGCCTCGGCCTCCCAAGTGCCCCGGATTACAGGCATTGACCACCGCGCCCGGCTACGTCTTACAGAATCAAGTATCTCGTTACTTTACAAAAGGATCTCGTCGTTTCCACTCAATTCAGCATCAACTTCAGCCGCGGAAGGCGCTCTCCTAACAGTCTACTTCAGCCTCATGGCTGAACCCTAGCACATGCTCTCATATCACCTTCTAGCCTCAGCCACCTGGCTGCATCTTTTATTCTGGGCCTGGCCTTACGCTCCCGCCGTGGTTTAGCATTGTGTAATCCCAACAATTTGAGGCTGAGGCAGAGCGGATCACTGAGGTCAGGAGTTCTAAGCCAGTAGCCAACCTGGCGAAACCCCGTCTCTATCAAAAATGCAAGTGGCCCAGCATGATGGTGTGCGTCTTTAATCCCAGCTGTAGGAGGCTGAGGCGGGAAGAATCGCGCTTAGAACCCAGGAGGCGGAGGTTGCAGTGAGCTGAGATTGCCAGTGCATTCCAGCCTGGGCTACAGGCGAGACTCCGTCTTAAAAAAAAAAATTATCTCAATCCTCACACCGTCTTCAAGGACACTAACTAGTAGATCTTAATCCATTCATTACCCAAAATCACAAGTGTATGTTTTCAAAATTCAGCATTTTTAGTTTTAGAAAGGTACTATGGTGCACATATATATGTGCATGTAATCCAGTACTCTTTAAAAACAATATTCCGTAGAGAAACATGAATATTCACATTGGAGTGGGATAATGTGAATACATCAATTCAAGACTTTGCTGCCCAAAAAATGCATCAGTTTGCTTTTGCTGCCAAAATAATTTAAGAAGCGTTTTAAAATTTGGGAGGCAGGCCGGGCCGCGGTGGCTTATGCCTGTAATCCATCACTTCAGAAGGCGTGGGGTGGATCACCTGAGGTCAGGAGTTTGAGACCAGCCTGACCAACACAGTGAAACTTCGTCTCTACTAAAAATACAAAAATTAGCTGGTTGTGGTACTGCCTGCGCCTGTAGTCCCAGCTACCCCGGAGGCTGAGGCAGGAGAGTTGCTTGAATCTGGAAGGCGAAGGAGTTGCAGTGAGCCGGGTTACTGTGCTCAGCTTAGGTGACCAATCAGGATTCTCAAAAAATAAAAAAAAATAAGGCCAAGTGCTTATTGGCTCATGCCTGTAATCCCCAGCACTTTGGGACGCCAAGGTGGGTGGATCACCTGAGGTCAGGAGTTTGAGACCAGCCTGGCCAACATGGTGAAACCCCGTCTGTAGTAAAAATACAAAAATTAGCCAGGGGTGGTGGCGGACACCTGTAATCGCTATTGGGAGGCTGAGGCAGAAGAATTGCTTGAACCTGGGAGGTGGAGGTTGCAGTGAGCCAAGATCATGCCATTGCACTCCAGCCTGGGTGACAAGAGCAAAACTCAGTCTCAAAAAAAAAAAAAAAAAAAAAAATTCAGGATGCAAGGATTATAACCTACCTATTTACTTTTTACGTGAAAGTCTTCATCCAAGAGGTTAATAGCAGCAAAGTCACATAATTAGTGAAGGACAGAGCTCAAGTCTATCTGACTCCAGGTTGGTTTTTCATGGCATCAGACTCAGGGATCAATAACCTCATCGGAAAAGGGGCTTTGGAATCCTGAGCAAGAAGATACTCTTACTGCAGGCCTGCTCTGTGCCAGGTCCTGCACCAGGCTAACGGGGAATATAGAGGAGAATAAGATGGCTGCTGTCACAGACCAAATAAGACAATTTAAATTGTAATGAAGGTTCAAAAGAAACGGCCACACATAGGGTCCTGGGCAAACTATTCTCCCTCAGGAATTCCCCTTCCAGTCAAGAGAGAAGAGAGCATCAGTAGACCTGAATTGCCTTGCCAGCGTACAAGTAGCTCACTAGGTGTAGGGTAAACGCACCTAATAGCAATAACTTAAGCATACCCTTAGAATGTCTTTGTATGGCAGATGCACCTGAATGTGTGTTCCAGAAAGCTAAGGTCTGGGAGTGGCCAACCCCCGAAGACTGGTTCATGTCTGTGAGAACTACCTGAGCCAGCCAGTAGTGTGGAATACAGACTGTACAAGGGATTGAGGCCTGAGTTCGGGTTAAATGAGGCTACCAGATAGAGGTAAGGGGAAGGTGTAAGTGAAAATGCTGTATAAACTGCATGCTGTTTTAACTGCATGCTGTTTGCTTACAACAGCTAAATTGCTGAACCAGGAGTTGCTTGAACCAGGAGAATTGCTTGAGCAGGAGGCGGAGGTTGCAGTGAGCCAAGATCACGTGTTGCACTCCAGCCTTGGCAACAAGAGTGAAACTCCGTCTCATAAAAAAAAAAAAAAAAAAAAAAAAGGTAGGGATTCAGCACAACACTGGGTTAGGCCTCAGTTTCCTTATCTGTCAAATGAGGAATTCATTCATTCATTCAACAAATATGTATTGAGCTTACTTTGCCTAGCCCATACAGGGCTCTGCAACATACAATAAAACAGAGTGGGGTTAGGGCCCCTGCCCTGGAAAGAGATCAATCTGCACCTACATCATAGCTATGAAACAGAGGAGGCCTGTGCAAAAGGACTGATGAATTCCCCAATTTATGGGGAGGGTCATCGGGAAGCCTCTACCACCGGGTATCCTATTTGAACTAGGCCTCAAAGGATTTTTATTTGTCAAACAAAAGGGTGGCTCTCTCAGGCAGTAGGAACAATGTGTGCAAAGGCAGAGAGGATAAAAGACAGTGGCCTGCAGAACTAGCTGTGATTTGGCACAGCCAAACTAGAGGCAGTGGCAGGAGGCCACTTTAGGAGATGGCGGTAGGGTTCAGACCTAAAGTCTCCAGCTGGAAAACATCATCCTGAGGCCAGTGGAATGCTTTGAAAGCCTGTGAACACCTGTGCACTTTTTATTTTTATAATGAGACAGGCTCTTGCTATGTTGTCCAGGCTGGTCTCCAACTCCTGGGCTCAAATGATCCTCCTGCCTCGGCCTCCCAAAGTGCTAGGATTACAACGTGAGCCACCATGCCAGGTCAGCACCTGTGTTTAGAAGAGTGAATTTAAGGGAGCCGGATAGATTAGGAGGATGGAAGGAGTTTTCACCTCTGTAGTGTAAGCCACCAAGATAGGCACCTGGCAGAGGGCACTGAAGGTGTGATATACAGAAGAGGGTGAGTGGCAGGCATGGTGGCTCATGCCTGTAATCCCAGCACTTTGGGAGGCTGAGGTGGGCAGATCACAGAGCCCAGGAGTTCCAGACCAGCCTGGCCAACATGGAGAAACCCTGTCTCTACTAAAAATACAAAAATTAGCCAGGCATGGTGGTGCAGGCATATAATCACAGCTATTTGGGAGGCTGAGGCTCAAGAATCACTTGAACCTGGGAGATGGAGGTTGCAGTGACCCCAAGATCACACCACTGCACTCCAGCCTGGGCAGCAAGCAGACTCTGTCTCAAAAAAAAAAAAAAAAAAAAAAAAGGGAGGAAGAAGAAGAAAGTAGAAGAAGAAGGAAGAAGAGAGAGGAAGACAGAGAGAAGGGGGGAGGGGAGGGAGGGAGGAAGGGAGGAAGGAAGGAAAAGAGGATGGAAGGGAGGGAGGGGAAAGGAAAGGGAGGGAGGGAGGGAAGGACAGAAAGAGAGAGAAAAGAGAGAGAGAGAGAGAGAAGGCAGGCGCAGTGGCTCACCTATAATCCCAGAACTTTGGGAGGCTTGAGGCAAGTATTTGGATCACCTGAGGTCGGGAGTTTGAGACCAGCCTGACCAACATGGAGAAATCCCATCTCTACTAAAAATACAAAAATTAGCCAGGCGTGGTGGCACATGCCTGTAATCCCAGTTACTAGGGAGGTAAAGGCAGGAGAATCGCTTGAACCTGGGAGGCAGAGCTCGCAGTGAGCCGAGATCACAGCATTGCACTCCAGCCTGGGCAACAAGAGCAAAACTCTGTCTCAAAAAAAAAAAAAAAAGAAAAAGAAGAAGGAAGGGAAGGGGAGAGAGGAGGTAGGAGGGAGAGAAAAGAAAAGGGAATGAATCCAGATGTTGAGACTGGGCCCAGACTCTGGAGACTATTTTTATGAGTCAGGTTGGGTGCAGGACAGGAAGCAGCGAGTATGGCA